TCCACTAGACCCCTCCCCCAAGAATTGGGCAGCACAAGCTGACTGAGTTCAGTGTAGTCCACCCTACGCTGACACAGATGGCATCAAGGCCAGAGGGTAAAGGGGGAGATGTCCTGGCATCCAATCACAGCTCCTAGCCAATAGCACCCAACACCCCAATCCTGGGCTCTGGTTCAGCCATTTCTCCTCTTCACAGCACCCTCTGTGACTTTCACCATCCACAACACTGTGTAGAAATGGGATTGTTTACCCAGTACCACCCTTCAAGGGCCTTGAAGACTAACATAGTCTGCTTAGATCCAGAGTACAGTGTAAGCATAAGAATGGTGGGGGGGGGGGACCTGGAGAGATGGCTCAGTGGTTAAGAACACTGATTGTTCTTGCAGAAGACCGGGGTTCGAATCCCAGCACCCACATGGCAGCTAACAACTGTCCATAAGTCCAGTTCCAGGTGATCCCACAGCATCTTGTGTGGCCTGTGCCTCAGCTCCTGCCTCCAGGTTCCTGTCCTGAGTCCATACCCAACTCCCCTCATCATGAACTGTTGGAGATGTAAGATGTAATGAGCCCTGTCCTCCCCCAGTTGCTTTTGGTCAGTGTTTTGTCACAGCAGCAGAAAGCACTGAGCACACATGTCAAGTGAAGGAGGTCAGACGTAAAAGGCCGTGAATTGTTATCGTTCCACTCATGTTACATAAGACAGAATGGGCAGCTGTGGAGACAGAAAAGATGGCTGCCAGGGGCTGGTATGGGAGGACAGGGAGGCACAGTGTTGCTCTCAGAATGTTCGTGAATTAGATAGCTATGTTGATGGCACAACCTTGTGAATATGCTAAATGTATTAAAGCCACTGAATTTCATGATACGCCAAGTATTTTTTTTTTTAACTTGGCATTGGTTTGTTTGGTTTTTTTTTTTAAAGCCAAGTATTTTTCAGGTAAGAATTAAAAGCAAGTAAGCAAAAAAAAAAAAAAAAAAAAAAAAAAAAAAAAAAAAAAAAAAAAAAAAACAAAAAAAAAAAAAAAAAAAAAAAAGAATGGTGCTGAATGATGTCACCAGAACCCTTGTGTACCTAACTGCTCTCTCTCCTGATCCTAAACCTATTAATCTGTAGCAAGAACACCACCATCTCTATTCTTTTAGCATCCTCTTAGGCCCCCTCTGTCCCACTTTCTGCTCCCAAGGATGCTTTCAACTCATTTTTCTCCCGCCCCACAGCCCCTATGCACACAGACACACACACACACCTTGAAAGGTTCCAGAACCAGCAGAACAAACTGTCTTTTGGCAGCTTCGCCTCGCATCGCCTCAACCAGCACCTCCTGTGGCCTCCCCTTCCCTGGTGTCACATTCCAATCTTGGGTCTTCAGCCACCCACTGGAAAGGGGCACAATTTAGCCTCTATCAGGGAGAAACAGGATGAGCCAGTTTCTCCTAGTCCCATGAGGGGGTGGGGGGATTGTGCTATGTTCGGAGTACCCCCCCCATCCCCCTAACAGAAGACAGGCTCCAGCCAAGGATCAAAGGGGCCTCTGGGTGGCTGTGGGGTTCCTACCCTCAGCACTTCATCTGGCCCCCCACCAGGAAGCATATGAGTTCTAATCCTCACCCCTGACTGTGGGCTGTGGAAGGAGCCACTGGGATCCAGCTCTACAACCTTGCGTGCAGGATGAGGGCCTATCATTCCGTGATCCAAGCTAGGCCACCGACATAGACAAAGAGAGATGACTCATTCTCTTGGAGGTCAGAGGAGGAGGAGACAGGATGTCTGTTTGGGTCTTGGGAGGCAGATGAAGGGCACCCAGGTGGAAAGGGCAGCCCAGACAAACTCAGAGGCTGGCGTGCAAATAAATGGGTTTGAAAGGAGCAGGGAGTGTAGGTCAGAGCAGACAGAGAACACCAGAAAGGACCCTGGGAACATGGGAAAAACCCCGGGCTGGCCTCTGTTCAGAAGTCAAAAGTAGTCTTGGAAGTATTTGCTAGTGTTTAGAAAGATCATTCTAATGGTACTTGGGAAGAGGCAGGGAGGCTTGAAAGGAGGCCCTGGCCAAGACCCAACTTCTCCCTCACCATTCTTCCTGAGTCAAGTAACCACAACACACAAGTCTCCGAAGACCAGAGTGTATGTTCCCTTTTCTTCTCTTCCTATCCATGCCTGGTTTATCTGCTTACAACCCCTTCTTCCATGAAGTCCCTAACTCTAGCTAAGACCTCAGCTACTATCTGGCACTGGGAAACATCAGTGTTTCATGTTTTGATCCCAGCATGACTTTGAAAACAGTGGATCCTTAAGACAGTCACTGTTCTCTGGGGTTTGATATCCAGGGTCCTGTCTCAGGGAGGCCCTACTTTGAGGGCACCACTGCTACTGCACACAGCTTCCCCATCCTAGGAACTAAACACATACACTAAAACACATATACAACATACCCAAGCAGCTGGCTGAAGCAAAGAGGGATAACTATGGGCTCCATGGATATAGAGGAACAATCATGACAGCAACAAAGATAGCAGTTGGCCTTTCTCAGAAGCACTGATCTAATCACCTACCGATACCTACAGCTGCAATCAGCACTGGGATTCCTATTGTACAGATGGGGCACTGAGGCCCAGAGTGGTAACTCCCTTAGCATATGGTGGAGTTAGGAGTCAATCCAGGGCCAGGTCCTGAAGTGCCTCATTCTACTCCCTTTCCAGACAGAGAATAAAACAGGAGGTTGCAAAATAAGAGACCTAGGTATGTTTTCATTTGGGGGAGAAAGAAAACTATATTTGTACATTGCCTCATGCATACATTGAGAAACAAAAAGTCTGGAAAGGTAAACTCTTCACTGGAGCTACCTGTGCTTGAGGGGGCTTTTCCTCTATACATTTCTGGACTATTTGCATTTGTCACTGTGAGAATCTCTCCATGTGTTACTTGAGCAAGGAAAAAAAAAAAAAAGAGAGAGAGAACAACTGTTAGGGTCTCAATTACTGTTTGTTGAAGGAATATACAGCAGATTAATTTCCTAAGGCCTGGTTTTTCAAACCCTGGTTTGATCTAACAGTGGTTGTGAAATCAGATTTAGTGGGTTGCAACCAGTCATTTTTCTAATCAAATAGACTCAAACATACAGTAGAAGGGTTATTCACTAAACTTTTGGTTTTGCTATATACTGTGAGTAGGAACAGCACTGACTTAAAAAATGTTTTGTACATGGTAGCTTTTTGTGCATAGCAGTATTTCATCATGGGCAGCAGTTTAGTCTAGATTTGGTGACCTAAAAGGGAATAAAATCGGGTCCCTGGTCCTGCAAGAGTGAAGACACTTCTGAGGCAGTCTTCTCCCTGCCCCCAGAAGTCAGAAGGATGCCTATGTCAGAGAAGGTCATATTTTGCACCATCCCAGACTGGTCTCTGGGACCTCAATGGTCCAAGGAATAACTGGTGAGAGTTTACTCAGATTTGGGGGAGAGGCTGCCTTGGGGCTAGGATAGTTGTGTCTATTCCTTCTTGTTCCTGAACCCCATATATTCTCTGGGGTGTTGGGGGGAGGGGTGGGAAACTAGATTACTCTCCAGCTTCCAGATCCCAAGGGTCACATCCCAGGGAAGCCTCTAGAAACAGCTGTGCAGTCATCAGGGAAGGGCCTCCATTCCACTGCCCGCTACCCCAGGCTGACTGGAGGAGCAAAGAGGAGTGTGCGGAGAATGGGGGATGGGAGAAGGGAGCCAGGATAAGAAGCAGAGCTCCCAGATCTGGACTCCCATCGCGCTGGCGCCTACACACCACGGCTTGCCTGGCCTCACTCTCCACCGGCCTCCCCTCCCAAGGCAGCAGACAACTAAAAAAAGATAAAATAAAAAGTAATTCCCCTGCTCTGACGTCAGCGCGAGGTTTTAACAGCCCAACAGCGGCATGAAACTGGATTGCAACCAGATGTAATGCCCTTGAATTCTCAACACAGCACTGGAAAAGAAATGGCGCGCGGGGGGGGGGGGGGGGGATGTCGGCAAGCTGAAACCGACGCACAGGCGCTGCGGGAGCGCGTGCGGAGAGCTGGGAAGCGTCCGCCTGGGTTCGCCATGTAGGCTCACAGCCTCTGGTACCCAGTCACCAGAAGTACAGTATGCTCCGGCTCTATTCATTCAAAGGCCCAGCGTCCGGGCCGCACTCACACCCGGCGGTGTGAATCTGGGAGAGAGCGCCGAGAGGAGCGGCTGGCTGGGAACACGGGCGCCCCAGGAAGCCGAGGCCGCCGCGACCTCGAGCTTGCCTGGTGTTTCGCTTCCCCTCTGCAGCTCCTTGAAGGCTCCCCGCGTGACCAAAGCTCCAAATGTCACCCCCGCGGCCTTCGAGCCGTCGCCTCCGCTGCGCTCGGCCCCGAGTCCTCCCAGGTACCCTGCCTCCAAAGGCGCGGGGACTCGGCTTCCAACGCGCCCGCAGGCCCGGCCGCCCCGCCGCTTTCCAGAGGGCATGGGACTCCTGTGTCTCGGGCTCCGCCAGTGGCGTCACCCCGAAGGGCCCACGAGCCCTGGGCCTGGCCACGACGGAGCTCGGGGGGCGTGAGGACCGCTTCCTGCCCAGTGCGCGGCCTGCGCACAGGCCCGGGCGGGGACACGCGGACAGCGCCGCGTCCTGTCTCGCCACACGCGGCCCTGGCAGCTCGGACTCCCACCAGTGGGCTGCGCACCCGGCGGCCAGCTCCCCGCCCCCACCCAAGACGCACTTACAAAGCTCCCTCCGGCCCCGCGCCGCCCCACGTCCCCGCCCCACAGGGCGACACCCGGCCTCGTCCCGCAGCGCCCGCTTCCAGTCCGCCGCCGGCTCTCTTGGAGACCCCGCAGTCCCTACACGGCCATCGGCCACCTCACGCACCCGCCACACAAAGCCAGGCCACCGGACCCGACATTTGCGCCCCATGGACACTCGACCTGGACCCTCCTGGTCCCCCAGCCTGCCGCATCCCGGCCCTCGCGCCACCCCCGCCCCGGGCCTTGTCCCCGCGCCCGGCTCACCTCGGAGCCCACGCTCACTCGGGGGCCCGGCGTCTGGCGCTGCGACTTCGCGGCCCAGAGGCCCGCGCGCCCATGGGTGTCGGGGCGCGGCGGCCGGCCAGCGG